TATTGATTGATCACACCTTTTATGCATGTTTAAAGGGAATTTGTACTTGTAATTATGCTTAATAAGATAATTAATAATCTTATTTAGGTTAATGTGATTATAATTCAAGTGATTGCCAATAATAGTTTTATTTGTGCATAAATTTTCAATCAACATAGATTAAACAGGTTTAGAGTAAACCTATTGATTGCATGTTAGTCAGAAAGCACACATGAATACGAGAAGAATAAAGTAGAGACCTATTATTAGGGCAGGTTCTTTCTCTTTTAAATTGGATTTGTACCTTCATCTCTGAACTTTCAGTCTTGGTTCCACATCAATTGGAGTTGACAATCTCATGGATCGTTAAGGGGTGTAACCTTCACCTCGTGAACGGTTTCCAAATTCTTAAAACTTGTTGGTGACTCTTTTGCTCTAGCTTTGTTACTTCCCTTTGGAAGCCACTATTCTTTAGTGTATGATCACACTGGGGTTCAATTTTAGGTAATGTTTGAAATATTCCCTATAGTAATACATCAATAACTAGTTTACATTATTCAAATGCTCAACTTGCTAATCAACTTTTTATCCATCAGATTCTTAAAGGATTTTTTTAATATATTTTGTGTTATGGATAATAAATTTATGATTTGAATAGTCTTGATTATGTTCACACTTTAAATAATCTTTGATATCAATTTTCATAACATATTCAAATTCAGACCACTGCCTTTAATTCACAGTAATAATTTATATTTAAAGTCTTACTAATCAACACATTATCTTTTAATAAAAGGTTTAATTCAAACATTTTATTATTACTTATTGTAGACATGGAATTTATGACGGTTAACAGTCCCGATTGTCATCATTTATCTTATACACATTATTTAAATTTCTTACTCCAGGGGATATAAATCACACACCTTTCTTGGACTATTATCGCAATATTACCTTTTTAATTTAGACATTAGTTGAACAATAATTGTAATTACGCAGAAGTATTGTGTTGATAATACAGAGTAGTAATATAAATATATCTTAAGAGATTAAATAAGGTAAATTTCAAGAGTGAAATTTATTCTAAATTTACATTATTCTCATAAAAAAATATATAGCAATTGTTATAGTTAAAAAATGTCAACTTTAACCATGAACTTCAGTAAATAATATTAAGGCAAAGTGACTGTAATTTTATATACTTTATGGGTTGAGATCGTTATTTTTTTTAACTTTATAAGAGTTATGTATTATAGATAAAAAATTAACAATAATTATACCATCGAAGTAACCACAATAAACCTACCTAAAGAAAAACATCGCGCAGGTTCTACAAAGTGTATTAGAAAGCATATCGAGCAACATATCAAAGTTAAATTAAAAACATAAATGAAAAATGCCTATGACATACAAATTAAAAAGAAAAGAAAAGTTACAAACTTGTGCTACTCTCATGTTGTGCTAGTCCAACTAAGATAACTTCTACCAAATACAACTAATCATTACATTTTTTCCAACAACACAACCATTTGCAATTTCATATCCAATTCTTTAAAATTGAAGAGTACGATCACATTAGAGACTTGAGCAACTTCATCTTGATACGCTTCCAAGGCTTCTTTCGAATGAGTCCATTTCTGTTGTCATCGTCACCGTCATCATCATCATCGTTGTCAACGCAGATGATTTCTTGAACATCCTTATCCCCGTTGTTCATATTTGTAATAATGTCATCCTCGTTTTTGATTTGTTTCTTTGCTTTACCTTTGCGACTTATTCTCCCATCATCATTATCAATAGGCTTGACATCACCTCTCTTTTTTGCCCAGTTTGGGCCGAACTGTGTATAGTAATGGTAATCAGATGATTTATTATCCTTAGCAGCACCTGTCATAGTTGACTTCGCCGCTCGAGTCTCATATGCATGCTTCTTAGGACGACATCGGCTCTTCGAGGAAGAGGGGACAGATGGTGGTAGTGGTGGACGAGAAGAGGGCTTCTTTGTTGGAGGAGGACAGAGATTTTTGATGCTGCGGTAGCTAGCTCGCTTAGCTCGAGGTTGGATAAACATGTGGTTATTTTCATTGCTTGGTTGATCACAAGCCTGTATCAGAGTAGAGCCTAAGTTGATGGATGGGATGGGTGGTGTTGAATTTGCTCCCACTAATGCTTCAATTGGCTGCATTTTCTCCTCTTGAATCCTTTTGATTGATTGTGGTGGAGTTGGCGATAGTGGCTTTCTTATGTATTCGAAAACTAGTTCCGTCGGCGACTCTATGAGTTTGTTACTATTTTTATAATTATCCAAAACCAAAATTGAAATCAAAATTAAATTAATTTTATAGCAATCATGTTAAGCAACAACATATGCTATTTAAAAAATCAAAAACCAAAATAAAAATTGTAAACCCTAAAAAATATGTATGTGATTTGAGTACTAGAGAAAAATTAAGGTCTAAGAAAACAAATACCTGTTTGAAATATGAGATGGATCAATCGAACTTCTAGTAAACGAAAATCTATTCTCGAATCCATCTTCAAACAACTAAAATCAATGTCGTAAAAAAACTCGTAAAAAACAACGATTACAATGATAAAAAAGTGAGCGGCAAACTAAAATCAAGTAAGGATGAAGCTAATTTCAAAATTTAGAGATAATGAGGGTTAAATGACTAGAGATGATTTACGCAGATCCCTAAAATTAAGGATGAAGTAGAATAGTGAGCGGTAAAAAAAATCCTTCTTTATCACAAAAATTATCATAAAAATGATAAAATAAATTAGAGAAGACATGAGGTTTCATGACAAATAAATATATAAATATACAAATTTAAAATGGAAAAAATAGATATGAGTTGATATGAAAATACCTGGGAAACGAAGGCGTCATTGTCCCAGGGAGATTGATTAACATTGCATAATATAAATGAAGTATTCAGTGGAGTTCCTTCATCGACCAACCTCCTTGCGTTTTGTCTAATTCTCATTATTTATTTTTGGTGTTAAGAGAGAATTTTTTATCGATAACGATGAAAGAAAAGAAGAAATTTGGTCTTAGAGTTTTCTGGTGCTCTGTAGTATTTTTACATAAATTTCTCCCTCCTTTAAATAATGTAACAGAGGTATGTATTTATAAGCAGTTTTTGTAACAATAATTGAAAGAGTTAATTTCTATCCAATTAATCAATAATAAAAAAATAAAATTGGAAAAAATAATGATAAAATGGTAAGAAATGATTTTCTGGTTTTATTATGTACTTCCATATCTCTCCCACCTTTTTTGTTTTATCCAATAATACCCTTGCAACTATGCTTGAACTTACTGTAATGCCATTCATTAGTGAGGTGGAAACTTTAATTTCTTTGCCAATAAAATTTGCACGTTTGTCAACTATTGTAAGGTGGAGCTTAAAATTTGAAATCAAATTTGATCTTATTGTAATTTTCCAACTCCATTTCTGAAAATAAATGTAAAATGCACAATAAAGCCTTACATACGCGACATATATAGAGGTAGAAATTTCAATTTTCTTGAAAAAATTGTGGCGGTATTCGAAAATTAACAAACTTGTATTTGAAAACATTACAAGCAGATTTCATAATTCAAAAGTTGAATATTCTCTATGATTGAAGCAATATGTAATAATGCAGATTTCACAATAAAGCTTCCTAATAAAAAATTTCATGTATAATTTGTTTCCTTGTTAACAATTATTCAATTATATCTCAATTATTTGATTCTATTCATTACGTCAGCGTGTTCTCACATATTATCTTTAGTAGAGTCTATGTTGTTGTTTACTTATTAGAGTTCATTTTATTCACTTGTTTTTCACTTTTTTTATATTATTTTCACGTAGTTATCAGAATTAAGTTAGACTTATTTTGATATATTAAAAATTATTTTTTCAATGTAAATTGTATTAAGGTGGCATTAATTCTTCCTATACTTAGCTCAGAAATATGAAAATATAAAAGTATTAAAAACCCATATCGGTATATTTTGTTAAAATGATTTTACTTTTTTATTTTTACATAAAAAGAATAAAAGTCTTGACAATCAGATCATTCAAATCAATGTAATTCAGATTAGACATAAATAATATCATATCTGAAGAATTTAAAAACGAAATTGCAAGTGAAAAGGCATGTGATTTAAAAATTTAAGAGAACAAAGACACAACTAGATAGAAGACAACAATTTATAAATGTTGAAATTAATTTTTATATTAAGGAATTAGAAATTAATTAATTAGAAGAAGATGCAAATCAATGTATATTTTGTTTGATCTGGCTCTCTATTAGTCAGCATGTAAATTGAAAGTTTTTTCCAACTAACATGTCATTTAATTTAGTTTTGAAATTGATTAATTATAAAAAATACTCACGAAATGAAACAGTGAAAGCTATTTTAGATACAAATATTTGTTTTCAATGAACTAATGTAACTTAAAGGTTGGTTAAGGTCGGGATCGCTATTGTACTACTGACTGGCTGCAGAAACGTCGTAGATTACGCTTGGAACGCCAAGAAATCAAAGGTGGGTTCAACCGATGGATTTCAAAAGGTAACTCTAAGTTTTTGACTTCTAAATGCATAACTGATGCGACTCTTGCGGAGGATATGGGAGTTGAACCGGGGTTAGAGGTAACTTCAGCGTCGTCTCCGAAGGGTAAGGGAGCGAGCAAAGGTAAGAGGCAGGGCGTTAAGATTATCTCTACTTCGTGCAAGAAACACAAGGTTACGGACTTTGGGGATTCGGATTCAGATGACAAATCTAGTTCTTCAGATATGGATATTCAGTGCTACTTTGATCAGCAGGGGGGAGATCACGAATCGGGGAATTGTTCCTCTACCACTAAGTGAAGACAGTAGCTTGGAATACTAGGGGCCTTAACTCCATAGATACCCCTAAGTTAGGTTATGTTAGATGGTTACGTAATGTTCATAAGCCTATGTTTTTGTTTTTATCCGAGACGAAATGCTCGGTTAGTACAGTTGAAAGTTTGTTTAGTGATAGGATGCCCTCTTTTGTGTTTGGGGTAGACTCGATAGGAGCAAGTGGGGGTTTAGTTGTGTTAGGTTGGAGTAGTTTAGCTATCTCTTGTGTTAGTAAGACTCCTAATTGTGTACACTGTAAAATTGAGGAGTGCAACGGAATGATATGGAATGTGTTTTTTGTGTACGAACCGCCGGCCTTTGAAGATAGATTAGAGTTTTGGAGCAACTTTCTACTTAATATACACCTTTTCTCTAATTGCCTATTGTTAGGTGATTTTAATCAACTTGAACTACTTGAAGATAAGTTAGGTGGTACTTTAATTATTAGGGGTAGTGATGATTTTGCTAACTGGAAGCTACAACACAACCTTTTAGATGTTCCATTCTCAGGACCACGCTTTACTTGGACTAACAAAAGGCTAACACAAGGTCTTATTTTGGAGCGGTTAGATAGGGGTTATATGTCAAATGATTGGTTTTTCAACTTCCCGGAGAGTAGGATTATAAACCAACCATTAGTTGCTTCGGATCACGCAGCTATTATTTTTGATAATGACGCAATCTCAAGGATAGCAAAACGACCATATCAAGTGGAGAATTGGTGTCTTGATTTTCATGATATCCGCACCATTATCAAAGAGGAATGGAGGAGGCCGATTACAGAGTCACCTATGTACTGCCTGACTAGGAAGTTAGTTGCTTTAAGGGGACGTTTACGACAATGGTGTTTGCGAAACACCAAACTTTGGGGGTTCAACTAGAAGGTGTTGACTTCTGACTTACAGCCAGATGGCTTGTCCTCCACAAATATTACACTAGCTCAGAGGTACCTTAATCATGTGGAGGAGGCCATCACTACTGCTGCTTTAAATGTGACATACTGGAAACAAAGGATGAAGGAAACATGGGTTGCAACGGGGGATTTGCCAACATCCTTACTTTATTCGAGGGTTAAGATGCGACAACGGAGGAATCAAGTGTTGACTCTTAAGGATGACTCGGGCACATGGATTGAGAACCGACAACAGGTTAGGGATCTGGTGGTTGATTCAATGACAAAGATTTTGTGTCCCCATCAACGGACATATTCTGTTGCGCACACGGATGCTATTTTGAGGGAGTTACATATTCCAACTATGACCGACAAACAGGTGGCAGTTCTCACCAAACCCTTATCCCCAGATGAGGTCCGAAGAGCAATGTTTAGCTTAAATGGAGATAAAGTCCGGGGCCGGATGGTTTCACAGCGGCCTTCTTTCAGAAGCATTGGGATACAGTGGGAAATTCAGTTACACTGGTAGCACAAAGTTTCTTCACCACAGGTTTTATACTCAGGGAGTGGAACCACTCCATTTTGGTAATGATACCAAAGGTGGAAATTCTAGAGGTCACATCGAATCTTAGGCCTATCAGTCTTTGCATTACGGTTTACAAATGCGTTTCCAAGTGTTTAGTTAATCGTCTGAAGAAAGCTTCACCGGATCTCATCTCTCAGTCTCAACATGCTTTTATTACAGGAAGACAAATGACTGATAATATTCTTTTGAGTCACGAGGTAATGGATAAAATCAATAGTAAAGTGTCAGGTGCGGATTTTTTGGCAGCAGTTAAAATAGACATGAGTAAGGCCTATGATAGGGTTAACTGGTTATTTCTGGAAAGGGTACTTCTATACTACGGGTTCCCAGAGACTTGGATTCGAATGATAAGACAGTGCATCTCAACGGTTTCTTACAAAATCCTACTAAATGGGGAGACAAGTGATCAATTCCGGCCTTCTTGTGGTCTACGTCAGGGAGACCCTTTGTCACCTTATCTATTCCTATTTTGCATGGATGTACTATCTAGGATGCTTCAACAGGGTTGTGAAATGAGAGTTTTTGACGGCATTAAATTAGGAAAGCGAGGCCCTTCCATTTCACATTTGTTTTTTGCGGATGATTCCCTCTTATTTTTCAAAGCTTCGGAGCGAAGTTGTTTGGCAATTTCTGGTATTCTCAACAGGTTTTGCACGGTCTCCGGTCAGCAGCTGAACCTTGCAAAGTCACATTTCAAGGTTAGTCCTAATACCCCGACTCAAATTCAGAGTGGGTTTAAATTATGTTTGGAGATGAATCAGGTTAATCAATTTGGAGTTCATTTGGGGGTTCCTATTGACTTGATGGGTAGTAAAGGGAAGTCCTTTCAGTTTATCATTGATAACATTAGGAAGCGGATCTCGGGGTGGAACGCGGCCCCTCTTTCCCAACCTCAGAAAATCATCTTGATCAATTATGTTCTCATCGCTATTGCTTCCCATGTGCTTAGCTGTTTGGAGATGCCTGCTGGTATTTCAAACAAAGTTGACTCTATGCTCTCTGGGTTCCTTTGGGAAAACAAAGTCCATAAAGGGATGCACTGGGTAAGTAAAGATAAGGTCAACCTCCCGAAGGGAATGGGGGGTTTAGGGGTCCGAAGCTTGGCTTGCTTCAACGAGGATCTACTTATGAAGCAGACGTGGAGATTATTTCACAACCCCCAGTTATTACTGGCTAAGGTATGTTCAACTAGGTTTTAATCTCCGCTGTTAGATGGGACTCGTGTTAGGTTGACAAACAGGAACCTCTCTTGGGGCATACGGGGTCTTGCTAGAGCTGGAAATAACCTTCTAGGGGGTTGTGGTTGGAAGGTAGGGAACGGAAACTCAATATTGGCAGGGAAGGACAGGTGGATTGAAGGTAAGGTTCCGGTCTTTAATTCTAACATCACGCTTCGGCAAGCAAAAACATGGAGGGTGAACCACTTTCTGAACCCTCATACTCACGATTGGAACCACATGCGCCTAATTTCTGCTTTCGAGCCCAGTGATGCTTCGGTTATTGCTAGCTTGGAATTACCAGAACAACCTGAGGACGACTACATGTTCTGGAATTTTCACAGGTCAGGAAGATTCACAGTTAAAACTGGGTATGCATTCCTTAAACGCTCTTCCATGCCCTCGGGGGCTATTGGACGGGAGGACTTGTTTAAGGTTCTTTGGTCCCTCACCATTCTTCCTAAGTGGAAACCTTTTATATGGAAACTTCTCTGGAATGGAATAGCTACAAAAAGTAACTTGGGGAGACGGGGGATTCAGATTTCTGTGGTTTGCGACCTGTGTGGGTTGCAGGAGGAAGATTTACAACATCTGTTCAGGTTTTGTATAGCTGCTCGGGATGCTTGGAGGGGTGGAATCTTGCAGATCAACTCAGAAGCTAACGCAGACCAATCTTTTCAAGATTGGGTTCTGTATCATATCCGCCTATATCTAGGTCAGGATGGTCACGCTGGTCATAAGACCACCTTTTTTATTGCGACTCTTTGGGGTTTGTGGTTAGCAAGGAATAACAGGGTTTTTAGATCTTCAACACAGGCTAACCTGTCAACGCCGGCGATTATTTCTGAGGGGTTGCGACAACAGGGTTTGTTCTCAAACAAACTACAGAATAGTCTAAGATCTTTGCACCCGCCAGAGATGGCCGAGGACTACCCGCCTGGATTTATGCGTGTTGTACTTTGCAATCATGGGATGAATGTGACCCCAACGGTTATTCTGGTTGATGGTTCTTGGCATAAGCACACTCATAGAGCAGGGATGGGCTGGTGCCCACAAAGTTGTGATCCGAGGGCTCAGGGAAAGCAACAGGGGGGAGCTAGCAGCGGCTTGGCCCAATCTGCTCTTCACACGGAGATGAACGCCTGTTTACAAGGTTTACGTTGGGCGGCAGCAAAGTCCTTGAAAGCGGTAACTATATACATGGACTCAGCGTCTATGATTCTGCTACCGAGGAACTCACAGGTAAGTGATATTGGTCTTCGATGGACGGCAGACCGAATTCGACAGATGAGTACATGCTTTGATTGGTGATGCGTCCATTAGGTTCCACGGGACTTGGTCCAGCAAGCTCATGACTTAGCTACTACAGCATGCAATATTCTTTCGTCCTTTAATAATTATATGTAATTTTCTTAAGCTTATGTCAAAAAAAAAAAAAAGGTTGGTTAAGCGAAGATTATTTATTATCTCGTTATATTTAGAAAATTAATGAAAACATTCACATATATTCAATATAGATTTGCTTAAATAATATAGTTTTCTTAAACAAATATTATACAATGAAAGTACTAATTTACAAGGTCAAATAAATATACAAAAGATAATACTACTCCTTAATTTGCGATCAGTTGGTTCGAACAGCTTGTTCTTGGTGCTTCTAGTTGTTGTGATCGGTCTTTTTATGCGGCCAGGTTTTACTTTTTCGCATTGTTTTGTTATTCCTTTACGTTGATCAAATTTTGATTTGTGTTGCTATATGCTATTGTGCTTTTTTTATGGCCGCATTCGGGGTTTATGCGTAGTTTTGGTGTGTCTTGTTCTTGGCTAGTGGTGGGTACGTTGTTTGTGCTCTTTGTTTGTGGAAAGTTTTTGTCATCGGATTATGGGTTTTTGTTGGGTTTCTTGCTTTCAACTTTGTGATTGGTTGTGTGTAGCTTTCACAACTTCCATGGTGCAGTTTCATTGTCCCTTTGTGGGTATTAGTGGTTATCAAGATGGAAACAGAAATGGCATTACTAGAAGTTCTTTAATCAAGAATCTTCATGATCGCTATTGTTGTATTGGTGCACGGGATATCACACGACATTCTCTTACTTCTAATTTGGCTGTTTATACTGAGGTTGAAGTTACCTTCTCCCGTATGGGAATTTGGTTATGTGGGGGTTTGTTAAAAAAACTACTCATACAATTCGTTCTAAGTGTTGTCATAGTGCGGATGAGGATGTGTCACCCCCGATGAAGGAGATGGTATTGTTCATTTTGTGCTTTATAATTTCTTTAAGCCATAAGCTCCCTCTTCTCTGGCTCATTGGTGCGAGATCAGTTATGTGGTATTGATGTGGCTCTACTTAATTGTTTGTTCTCAGTGGGGTTTTACACTGTGAAGTCTATCGCCCCCAAATGTCGTTTGGGGTTTTCTCGGGTTCTGAAAGATGCTCTTGATAAGGTGATCTCTAAGCTTGATGACATTTATAGTTGTGTCTCATTATTAGTGTTACCTCTTTGCAGTCTTAGAACCTTTCTCCCTTAGAGTAATCGTGAGTCTAGGTCTTTTATAAAGTGTCGGCATCAAGAGGAGAGTATTTCTCGTGCTATTTGCTCTTGGAGTGCACCAGGTTGTTATGAGCACCTTGTGAGGGAAACTTTGGCAGAGGATTCTCCTACTTTGTAGGTGGTTGATGATGAGGACCTTGATTTGGATGAGCGTAATATGAAGCAATGTCGTAGGAAGATTTGTGATGGCCATTACATAGCTGCAATCCGGGTTCTTTCTTCTTCCGGGGTTGCTCCGTATAATGAGGTCACACTTTTAGATTTAGAATCAAAACACCTTTCTTTTCCAGCTCCATCCTTGCTTATGGATATACATGTTGATCAACTTCATCTCGTTGCTACTTCTGTTGTTGTTTTGGATCGAATTAAGAGTTTTCCGCGTGGCACTTCATGTGGTAGGGACATTTTACGTGCTCATCACCTTATGGATTGCTTGAGTGGTGTTGTTATGGTTGTCTCAGATGAGTTGGTTGCCTCTACTTTCAGGGTGGTTAATCTCATTCTTGTTGGAAGATGTCTTATGGAACAAGGAGAGTATATTGCTAGTGCTCCTCTCACACCACTTATCAAGCCTGGTGGTGGTATCTGTCCTATAACTGTGGGTACTGTTTGGAGGTGTTTTGTTTCAAAGGTCGGTGATGTTATGGTTGGCCAGTCTTTAGGCAGTTGGTTTGATGGTCTTCAATTTGGTGTTGGGGTTTCTTCATGTGGTGAGGCAATTCTTCATCTTCTGAATCGGTTGATTGAGGATCTTGGTTCTGATGTTAGTCTTTCAATGTTGTTGGTGGATTTTCAGAACGCCTTCAATCTAGTTGATCACGCGGTTATGTTACGTGAAGTTCGTCGTCGTTGTCCGGATATTTTTCGTTGGGTTGAATTTAGCTACTCTAATCCAGCCAGATAGTATTATGGGGACCACACCTTATAGTCGTCTTAAGGGGTGCAACAGGGTGATCCCCTTGGCCCTCTCCTTTTTCTTTGGTTTTACAACCTCTTATGTGTAAAATCAAAGATGCCTTTGAGGTATGTCTTCAGGCATGGTATTTGGATGACAACACTATTATTGGCGACACTTTTGTGGTAGGGAAGGTTTTACAGTTGATTATGGAGGAAGGGCCTCGTTTAGGGTTGCATCTCAACGTTAAAAAAACTGAAGTTTTCTGGCCTATAGAA